TACTGTACACTGATATTATATGTAGACCGTTGGATTTCCTTTTGAATTGTTTTACACTAGTCATTTTGGGGCCCTTTATAGCTTGCTGTTCGGTGTGAGCCAAGGCTCCTTGTTGAAGGCCGTAATTTGACCTATAATGTTTACTTTTTACACATTGTGACTTGGATGGAGAGTTGTCTCATTGGCACACATACCACATCTTCTTATTTCTATATAAAGTATAGACGTACACATGGTGAATTGAATTTTTAACGAGGTAGATAGATATAAAAAAAAAAGAAGATGTGGTATGATTGCCAACGAGACAACTCTCCACAAGAGACCAAATGACACAGACATTACCAACTATAATAGGTCACCGTAGATCATCGTTTACTTCTTTTCATACACACGATCAATAGGTTCACCATTGTATGGACAATAATCGAACACTTTATTTTGTATTATAATTTTTTTAAAGATAAAATTTATCATATTTCCAACAGACGATATCGACCTCATTGTGTTTTCCAGATTTCTGACAGACGACAGCTTGTACGCTTTTGTTAAAAGCATGGATAAAGTTTCATATTTCCAAAGCTTTATTCTTAATGTGTATGTTAATATGTTTATTGGAAAAGATTCAAATACAAAGTTTCAAAATCTATACCAAAATAACTCTGTAAATTTTTTTTATACAACTATGTGTGTCTCATTGGGGCCTAAGCGTGTCGCGGGATTGGTCGATTTTTTTTTTAAGCGTGACACTTGAAAGTCAAATTATTGTGCATGAAAACGGGAACCGAAGTCGGACGGGACACGTGAAATTACAAGCGTTATTATTACAATGATAAAAGGGATACGGGAATCTGACCAAACAATAAGCGGGATCAGGGATCAGACACCCCCTCCCCCCTTTTCAATGAGACCCCAACTAGTTGTGTGAAACCAGAGAGTGACATACTCTTGTGAAACGTAACAACGAATAAATTTATCGGAGAATGTTTAATGATAATTACGTGCCGCTGGCTTAAAAAATACCATTGATCATTGATGTAAACAAAACATATAAACATATGTAGATCATATAGATGTGGTATAATTGTCAATGAGACAACTATGCATCAGAGTTCAAATGACGTGGATGTAAGCGAATATAAATATCAACGTACGGCCTTCAACAATGATAAACGTTCCCAAATTGACAAAATTTAAAACTATTCAAACGAGAAAACAATAAACAAAAAACAAATATGAGAAACAGCAACCAACGACGACCACTGCATTACAGGCTCCTGACGTGGGATAGGCACATGCAGAACTGATGTGGCGGATTTAAGGTAGATTCACTGTATACCGCCATCTTGGATTGTACAATATCAGTACACAATCGGTCTAGTTCTTTGTCTAAATCTGCAAATTTTGAGACAGATTTGCATTTCATGTGTAAGAATGTTTATTTGTACAAAGAAAATAAGTGATTTATTCCATAATCCAAAATGTTTAAACAAAGACCAAATATTTGTGTTTTTTAGAATCAATTTTTCAACTGAGCAAGTTAAGGGGAGATAACTCTTATAGTAAAATTTTTATACTGGAATGATAGAGAAATTTTCATTTTTTTACTTGTGGCAAGAAAACAAGTTTGATGACATAATTTTTTCTTTTTATTTTCTTAAAGCATATTATAAAACCTGTCTTCTCATATTTTATTTCAAAATTCTATCTCATAGATTTCTTTTTATTCACAAAAATGTGTTTTTTCTTGAACAATCTATGCAAATTTGGGCAATTTTGCACGACTTGTAGCTTGAAAAATGGCACGGTTGCCCATTCTTTTAATTGTATTTTTGAAAAAAGCATGGTAAAATCTTCATTTTGGCAAGGTAGAAGAAAATTCTATCTGAGGAAATATATACCGATGACACATCACTGTAACGCGTTACTTACTGTATTGTATACACTGTAGCACGTGCATCAAATACCTTGCAGGTCAGTTATTTTTGTCTTTTGTAAAGCATATATAATTTTCGTCTAAAATTTAGCCAAACAATGTACTCAAAGATAAAACCATTTATTCTTGCACCCCTTCCCCCTATTTCATGTATTCTTCTTTCTTATTCCGTCAATAGGAGGGATTCTAAGGGGGTCTTTCCCTATGTTCGATTAAAGGTCTGCAAATTCGCAAAAGCAAATTTGTGTCCTTCCGTAGCTGTATTTGAACCAATAATTCTGCGATATAGTTCGTGACCCTTGTGTCTATCGCCCTACACCACTCTGCAAACTTGACAGTATATAATTAAGTATCCATTAGACGAGAGATATCTTTCCAAGGCTTACTGAGGGTCTGGATTGGGGGGTCCTTCATTTCTGTATTCTTTAATTTTTAGGCCATTTTTCTCTCTTCTTTATACTTTTTACCCACTAATCTCTATTTTGTAAACCCCCATCTAGACCCTCCTTACTTAATAATGGTTTATAACACATTACATAATGCATTGTGTATCGGATACTTTGCAGATCAGCTGTTTTTGTTCGATGGAGAATGTATATTGTATAGTTGTAACAACTGAAGACGCATAAAATAATATAAAAAAAAAAAAAAAAAAAAAAACGATATGATGGCGTGGAAATCGGAAGTATTTATTTATCAGTCTACTTCTTTAATAATTCAGAATTACCAATTGAATTTGAATACCTGATGAAGATTTATTTTAACTCTCAAGTTTTATATTCAAACTATATATCAACTCAACAAATTTACAATGCATTGTTGATGTCATCGCAAATCTTTTAAGTGGTGGTTATCTCATATATCAATGACATAATAAAACTTGACACCTATTTAACAAAAGATCAATTTCATGAAGAACCTTTATGTAATCTGTTGCACATGTGTATATATGGATTATGTTGCCTTTTGAGGTAAAAGATTACAAATAATTACAACACGGGTAAAACGTTTTCAACGAGTAGTATATGAATACTTCTCTTGTATGTTCACTGGTGTTAAACTGGTAATCGTAACTGGAATTACGACAATCCCAATATGGCGACGGTAGAAATAGGTAAAATCTTTTCAGTCATTTTTTCTCAAATGTAGCCCGTTGTTGTCAAGAGTAACGGGCTACATTTGAGAAAAATGACTGAAAAGATTTTACCTATTTCTGCCGTCGCCATATTGGGATCGTCGTAATTCCAGTTACGATTATCAGTTTAATACCAGTGATGTTGAATCATTTGATTTAATTTATTGATTGATTGTTGATTGGTTGACGCCCAGTGGAGAATATTTCATACATATTCGGGACTAGAACAAATCCAAGAGAAGGGTTCTACAATTTGGAGAAACGTTACTAGGTTGAAAAACTTGTGTCTAATCCATTAATCCATATATCAATTATGGACATTATTATTATTATTTTTATTTCCATATTTATTTTTGGAAACACATATTTTTTAAAAGAAAATTAGAATCAATTAAAAGAAAAGATGAATGGTCGGTGCCTTAGCTTCTGTTTTATACCTTATGTACATGTATGTTTAACCTTTTTTTTTTTTTTTTGGGGGGGGGGGGGGGGGGGGTGGGGCGGGGGATCCTCAGCAAGATAATGAAGATAATTCCTAATGGACTAGTTTTAACGTACAGTCGCAAATACTTCATGCACATCAGGAAGAGGCTGTGGTGATATGATATGGATATGAACCCGGCTTCATGCTAGACCGGCGGTCTTTAAAAATAGACATATGTACATGCAACATGCCAAGAGATATAAGGTCTCGGACCTTCAAAAGTTGTGCATAACACTCATTTTCTTTATATTTAAAACTCTTTTGTTCACTTAAAAAAATCATTTCCACACGATAGGACCTTGATTTATACTCTAACTTTCAGACATATATGTAAATGTTATCATAGTTTAGTCATGAAGGTCTTGAGAAACTTTATAACCCAGTTCTCTTTTTGTTCACACAAAAAGAAATCTTTAGATATACGATTGGATCTTGGTTTTACAGATATGTATGTTAATATTCATGTATATGTTATACAGAAAGGTTAAGCGATATCTTTATACCACACATATTAAATATGGAGATGTGGTATGATTGCCAATGAGACAGCTATCCGCCAAAGTTCAAATGAAGTGGATGTAAGCAGTTATATGCCAACGTAAGGCAATGAGAAAATCCCACACCGTATAGTCGGCTATAAAAAGCCCCGACATTAAAAATGTGAAACAATTCAAACGAGAAAACTGACGGCCTAATTAAGGACAAAACAACTGACGGGCTAATTTAGGACAAAACAACTGACGGGATAATTAAGGACAAAACAACTGACGGGCAAATTTAGGACAAAACAACTGACGGCCTCATTAAGGACAAAACAACTGACGGCCTAATTTAGGACAAAACAACTGACGGCCTCATTAAGGACAAAACAACTGACGGGCTAATTTAGGACAAGATAATTTATGAAAAACAAATATGGCAGACATGAACCAACGACAACCACTGAACTACATGCTCCTGTCTTGACACAGGCGCATGAAGAATGTGGCAGATTTAAACATGTTTGTGAGCGCTCACCACCCCACCCCCCCCCCCCCCCCCCCACCCCAGGCCTAACCTGGAACAGTGGTGTAACAGCACAACATGAGAACAGACTGTAAAAATCAGTTGTAATTTGCTTAACTCAAAAGACCGGTACGAGGGACAAAAACAACTAACATAAAATCTGTAGACACAAAGTACCGAAATAAGTTTAAATCTATTTTTGCTCACATTTTTTTATAAAATCGCACAGAAATCAGTTTTAGGGAATTTGGCAAATTCTGATTTGTTTATGATTTGTTTAATGAATCGCAAGCAAATGGTACTAACAAATCGCAAAATCACGATTTGAAAGAGATTTGAATACGACTTGAAAGAGATTTGAATACGATTTGAAAGCAATTTGTTCATTTATTTTTCTGTTTGGAGCATACAATGGGACTATGTTTTCTTACTTTGTTTTTCAGATATGTGTATAAATATTCATCAATAGGTCAGACAGAAAGGTTAACAGATAGAATATTGATATTCAGAGACAAAGATACACACTTCGAGATAAAATAAATTATGTAACCGAATTTGATGTAAACAACTCTTATTCTATTTCATTACGTTATACTATTAATATCCGGAAAAAAATAATCATTTTAAAGATTAATTTGAGATTATGTGACAGTTGCGTTGAGAATCAATATTTTTAGCAAAAGAATCGTTTATCAATGGACGAAGTGACACGAATACACCTCTCTATAGTCTTAAAATGTACTTTACATTTATACAGTCGAAAGAAAGATAAACTTTGATGAAGTCACAGATTGAGAGAATAATTAGTAATATATTCCATGTATTCCGAATGGAGGGAAGTTAACATATACCGAATAGGGAAATTAACATATTCCGAAAGGAGGAAAATTAACATATTCCGAATGGAGGAAATGTAACATATTTCAGGAAAATACACTGTGAGACATTTTAAAAAGGAAACCTTGTAATTGTCATTGCGTTTAAATATAATTTCCTTTGGAACATGGTGACTCTACTGTTATTATAGGATAGGACTATGAATGGAGGAAAATGCAGTTCCAAAGGATGTATAGCACTTTAAGATAAGAAAATATCTTAAACATTTTAACTAACAAACTTCCATACGCCGTTACAGAATATTCACACGAGTGTTCTGTTTTTGGCGCTTCAAAACTCTAATGAAGGATAATTTATGTAATTCTTATTGGGTAAAAGATAAATCTCAATTCATCGAATCGTCTAAAACAATTATTTACATTAACGATTTTTCTCCTTCTTATTTGGAAAAAAAAGGAATAACTGTTCTAAGACATCTGCAGATATGGATGAAATATAATAGTTGTGATATAAATATGTATGAAACAATTAACGAAAAGGATTAGGATTTATGTTGACGACAGCGATACTCCGAAAATATATTATGCGTGGAATGAGCCTCAGAACTTTGAGATCGAAATCTTTGCTGGCATTTGTCACAGTTAGCGTCATCATTCTGTTAACGTTTTATTCTTTTCATAGCGGGCAAATAGACATTTATAAACATATAAAGCAAAGGCGATACGAGGGAGTTCAAGATTTGGTTCATGGAGTTCAAGATTTTGTACAATCTAATAAAACGGTCATAATAACGAGAAATTTGAAAGAGGAGAAAAAGGAAAACGTAAAGTCGTCTGCTGTAAATTTAACAAATAATTCCAATCAATTAAATGTTCATTCAAAAGATGAACGGGTGAGACCAAACAATTTGAGAGGTTATTTTGATAAGGTTAAAGCAAGGTACGATACTGGTCCAGATAACAAAGCGGACAAATTGGTCGTATCAGTCGGTGTTGATAATAATGCAATAACTGGTGACAATGTTGATAACTTCGACATTAAACAAAGTTCAAAGGTCAAGTTATTGATAAACAGTTCAATCGAGGGGAGGAACAATTTTACTGATAAAAGTAAATGGTCACGTTTTAATCACGTTTCAATCAAAACTACACGAGACTATTCAGTAACACCAATATTGAAGAATACAGGTGACCATATTTCAACTCTTACCAATGCTGATCTCATAAATAACAGAAATACAAGCCGAATAGTAAAACAAAATCAGAAAGTGGAAAGATATTTTCTAAAGAATAATAAGTTAAAAGAAAAATCAAATAAATTTTCGGAAAAAGGTTACGGCATGCCATTTATGAATGCTATGCTAAGAGATACAGATGATGTCGTGGAAAATCAAAAACGGGTTATGGCAGGAAAGAGAAGAAAACCTGTAGTTAGGTTCCCATATAGGGATTCTATAGGACGACAAAATTTAATTGATCGTTCATTTGGAATGCAGAATAAATATGAAGAAATAAAAAAGACAATTTATAAATCAAAATTGTCAATTAACACAACATTACAAACTGAGAACGATGTTATAAATGAATCTTTGCCTGTGCGAAATGAATCGTGCAGCAGATGCTTTAAAAACGACTTCGATATCTTGTTGAATCAAAACGATCATTGCAGTGAAACAATGAAAATCGATATTTTGATCCTTATTTCAAGTTCGCCAGGGGATTTTAACAAACGGAGAGCAATACGAGAAACATGGGGGTCTAACTGTAATAACGAAAACTCTTCAATGAAGCTCTTATTTGTGATCGGCAATACTCGTCAGATTCCGGACAAAATTCGTCAATCTCCGACAATTCCCGGTGAATATAATGTAACTTCAAACCATTCTGAAAATGAATTTTCTAAAGTGAGGATGCAGAAAGAAAGTATCATATTTAAAGACATTGTGCAGATTGATTTTGTTGATTCATATGGGAATTTAACGTATAAAACTTTATCCGCAATTTCATGGGCCGTCAAATTTTGTTCGAAAGCAAAATACATCATGAAAACTGACACAGATATGTTTGTGAATACAGAGATACTTCCCTTTTTGATAAAATATGCACCGAAAAAAAAATTCGTCGGTGGATATTGCTGGGGACCATCTTCTCCTAACAGGGATCTTCTTTCAAAATGGTTTGTTTCGCACAACAGTTACCGTAAAACCCATTTTCCGCCTATGTGTTCTGGTACAGGTTATATAATGAGTACTGATGTCGCTAGCTCTATATTGCGTAAGGCGAACAATATTCCATTTTTTCACTTAGAGGATGTTTATATTGCATTGTGCTTGAAAACATTGAATATCGAACCCTTTAATTTATTCGGGTTCAGTAACATGCGTCCAGAGTTTGATGCATGTTATTACAAGAATCATGTAGTGACATCGCATTATATGACACCTGAAAACTTGTACGAATTCTGGCAACCAATCAAATCCTGTAGTTTTTCGGTTTTGCCAGAGAATGTTTACAGAGTAGTGCCGTTTCCGTTTGTTTCATGATTGCAAACATCGTCATTTTTTCCCCGAGAAATCCTGCAATATTGTCATTTTGAGACTATTTAGAAATTGCACCATTGATATAAAATTAAACATGTTATTTCGAATAATACAAGTTCAGGAGTCCAAGGGAATATTCTAAGTAATTTCAACGTTCGTACTTAAAATGAAAATAACGTAACATGGTTCTATATAAGCAGTTGTTAATCAATCACAACCTTTTGGTACACGCTTTTGAAAATATTACCCAAAATGCATCAGATCATCTGAACTGGCGTATTTGTCGTGAGAAAAGTGCGAAAATGGTGTTTGTCTTCTTACACTCGTCATTGTCAACTGCTCAGTAATTGGAATTATACATGAACATGGTTTAGCTGTTTCAGAATAGTTTGACTAGCTGTTAACAGTTAACAGCCTAATGATAGACATTAAGAATAATACAGAATAAGATTGCAAAACAATGCCGGCACTAAACTATGTTACTGGGAAATTTTGACTACTATGCCAAATTGTACTTTTAAACCATTTTTTAAAATTGTAAACAGATTGATCTTAAGGTGGTACCCAACACCTTGACTAATATCAATTTGGCTCGTTTAATTTTCATAAAATTTGGACAAAATGTTTACTTTGACCCTTTGACAAAAATATAAAAATTTCAAAAAATTTGAACCAACCACTTTATCAGAAAAATTTCATTGGTTATATAACAGTTCGACAAACAATAATTTTGATCATTGAGAAGCTTAATATTTCCTTAACAATACAACGTAATTAAAACGTTTAGCTGATTTTTACAGAGTTATCTCCCTGTAGTGTTAGGTACCACCTTAAAACTTTTAACTCTGAAAGTAGAGAGGAGAAAATCCAAATAATATTTCAAAGTAAAATTGAGAATGGAAATGGGGAATGTGTCAAAGAGACAACAACCCGACCATAGAACAGACAACAGCAGAAGGTCACCAACAGGTCTTCAATGCAGCGAGAAACTCCCGCACCCGGGCGTCCTTCAGCTGGCCCCTAAACAAAAATATATACTAGTTCAGTGATAATGAACGCCATACTAAACTCCAAATTGTACACAAGAAACTAAAATTAAAAATAATACAAGACTGACAAAGGCTAGAGGCTCCTGACTTGGGACAGGCGCAAAAATGAGGCGGGGTTAAACATGTTTATGAGATCTCAACCCTCCCCCTATACCTCTAGCCAATGTAGAAAAGTAGAATAGAAAAGGGAAATGGGGAATGTGTTAAAGAGACAACACCCTGACCAAAGAGTAGAAAACAGCCCAAAGCCACCAATAAGTCTTCAACGCAGTGAGAAAATTCTACACCCGGAGGCGGGCTTCAGCTGGCCCCTTAACAATAATGTATACTAGTTCAGCTAAATGGACACCACACTAAACACCGAAACATACAAATGAACCAAAATAAAAAATAAAACACAACGCGTGTCATGTCATACAAATGCTAGAGGTTCCTGACATGGGACAGGCGCATAAATGCGGCGGGGTTTAACATGTTGTGTGAGATCTCAACACAATCCCTATACATGTACCTCTAGTCAATGTGATATAAACGCACATAGCAAAACACAAGTAAAACTAAGTTCAAAAGAAGTCCGTCTGCCATTTGCCCCCTGCTCACCACGGAGAGGTGGAAGTGGGATTTCGAGCAGGATAAGTTTGTTGTAAAAGTTTCTAAAACATATACATCACACGTAATTTGTTTCAATAGAATAGCAACAGTTTGACGTCAAAAGTACATTTGAATATTTTCTTTATGACATTTATAAAAACGTAAATGTTATAATAACCTTAGTAACGGTAATTATCTAAAATGTTTCAGATTTTACAAGTTCAAATTAAATTTGCTCAATTAAATGAAAAATTTATAATTGGAGCAAATAAAAACTTTGTTTCTCCGGGGGAGTCATGTGAATGTGACAGAGTGTTTTTAAATAAAGCATATTGTGTTGCAATAAAGTTGGTGAAAGTTTGTTTTGGCGCAAATGAAAAAAATGATATATTATATTTTTAAAAATTGGCGCAATTGTCGTACGCCTGAAACAAGAAGTCCCATTCAGACCCTCAGGCTAGGTAATGTAGTTACAGCTGCTCAAGAAAACAAAAATAAAGTCAGTCAAAACACTTATAAAAACTTTAACAACGTCAGATCATAACATTTAATTGGAATCAACAGTATTTGTGAGAGGCTAATAAATATCTAAAAGTATCAGATCATCGAACGTTTTAACCGCCTCGGTGGTCTCGTGGTAGCGTATTCGCCTCGAGTGGTTGAGGTCGGGGGATCGAACCCGGCCGGTTCAAACCCAAGACTTTAAAATTGGTATTTGCTGTTTCTCCACTAAACACGCGGCATTAAGGAGTAAAAGCAAAGACTGGTCAGCTCGGAGTCAGAATAATGTGTCCAGGTAAGGTGACATGTCTTCCTGCGGACTGTTACCTAGTGAATTAGCACGGTAAACATCCGGCTTAGCTTGTCGGTCTAGTACAAAGCAGGGTTAATATTCATCGTCCTGAATATGCATATTAATTTGCCGCTTGACGTTAAGCAGCCATCCATCATCGTAATCATCATCATCAATATCATCATCGAACGTTTTAGTTCTCATTTAGAAATTACAAAACTTTTTTACGAAAAGCATTATATAAAAATAAGGAAATGTTGTATGACTGCCAATAAGACAACTACCCACAAGAGTTCAAATAAAGTGGTTGTTGGCAATTATAGGCACCCATACGGCCTTCAAAATTGAGTAAAACCCATACTGTATATTCGGCTATAAAAGGCCCATACATGAAAAATATGAAACAATTCAATAGAAAAAAAATAGCGGCTGATTTATAACAAAACAATTTACGAAAAACAAATTAAAAAAAAAACGAAAAAACAAAAAAACAAACGGCCTTATCAATATCAAAATAATTTACGAAAAATAAATATTACGGACATGAATCAACGACTACCACTGAACTACAGAGACTTAGGACAGGCACATGAAGAATGTGGCGTGTGAGCGCTCAACCATCCTTAATATATTTACGTCTGTATAAGATGATGGTTACGACTTTATTTTTTATTTACTATTAGTTACAGCCTAACTTTATAATTAGGTGAAAAACTTCGAAAAATCGGCGCCGAAAATGTGTCTAGACGAAGGTTGTAATGGCAACTAAGTCAGTGGTGCTTCCCGTACATTTTGGTGAGTTTAGCAGTGAACACAATAACTGCTTTGAAGTAAAATCAGACTTAATGTAACGGTATTTATTAATATTTTTCAGAAATATGATACTTCAAAAACAAAACAAAGAAATTCAATATCTAAACGATATCTTGCCTTTATAATTTTTATTGTCACAACCGAAAGGACAGGGGTGACGTTGTTATTTTTCATTGTATTTAATTAAACATATTTTGCATGCATCCGCGTTCATTTTAATTAAATATATAAATATAAAATATCAATGTTTCGTACCAATAACTTACAACAAAATTTTGGGATTCAGGTTGCTAGGTTAATTTCTATAGAAACCAAAATGTGTCCTTCTTGCTTTTTTCTACAGAAATGTGACCATGTTATTAAAATAAATCATAAAAAAGTTTCTATATTGCATGCATATAATTCGAAAAATATTGAAATTTAACAACCTTCAAATTGACCCAATGTCATAGGTCATTATTGATCTTGACCTTTGACATTGAGTAATATATTAAATTGATTTTGTAAGAAAAGGTAATAGAAAGAAGCATACAATACATGAGGGAAATATTCAGGACGATTAAAGCCACTAATCTATTTATAGGTCAACAGTTTTGATGTCAAGGTCATGTCAATAATGCTTATAACTATAATGATGAATGGAAGCCGTGAACAGTTTAAATGGGCAACAAGGTACGATTTACCAATGGGTTAACCTAAATGAAATTGTGAATCAAATTTCTTATGCAGTTATTTCCTTAAAATAGATATAGGAAGATGTGGTATGAGTGCCAATGAGACAACTCTCCATCCAAGTAACAATTTATAAAAGTAAACCATTATAGGTCAAGGTACGGCCTTCAACACGAAGCATTGGCTAACAGCAAGCTATAAAGGGCCCCAAAAATTACTAGTGTAAAACCATTCAAACGAGAAAACCAACGGTCTAATCTATATAAAAACGAGAAACGAGAAACACGTATGAACTAAATAAACAGACGACAACTACTCTACATCAGATTCCTGACTTAGGACAGGTGCAAACATTTGCAGTGGGATTAAACGTTATAATGGTACCAAACCTTAAAAGACAGTTTTGACTTAATTTTGAGATTTTGTAATTATTCTAATCTATTATAGTTCTCAAGAATGGCTAAAAATCGCATAAATTTGGACAACAAAACAAACAGTTCTTTGCCCTCTCTTTTTTAGAAAATGTAATTTGAACTAAGACCTGTAATTTAGTTAGTAAAATTTGTCTCAATGAAAGCTTGTAGTAGTTTTTATTTATTTGTCTATTAAGTTCGGCTTGGTTTGATTATGCATGTTTCTGCCCGGGGCACACACATATTGCGTGCGAAGCGTAACAGTATTAAAAGTAGTTCACTGAATGATTTCTCATTAAGTATATATTTGACACGATGCAATTATTTCAATTTGAAGGAGCTATCTGAAAACTTTTTGTTAATATTTTATTTACTTTCTACTTATATTCTAACCAGGCTTTAACTTATTAAGTAAATAGTATTTTAAATCTAGCAACTATTCAAACATATCTTACGACTTCTTTGGATTTAGATGATAAATGTCTTATACTGTTTCGTCTTCTGTTTACTCATATATTGATAGTTGGAGTATTTGGACTCTTAATGATACATGTACATCACATTTCTCCATCAATCGATTTATACTGACCATGTTGACTGGACTCAGCATTAACAAATATGTTTCTGTTACAAATAAAAAGAATGATCCTCTTAACAATAATTACTTCAATATGGAACATAAACTATTTTATACATTTATGCAGTCAAATGCTCTGATAAGCATTTATAATATGATTATGTGAGACGGTCTTATATTGGATGTTAAAACTTAACAGAAGTACGTTAATTTTTCAAGAATATTAATTGTTAAAGTTCTAACTGAAAAAAGTAAAAAGCAAAATTACCGAACTCCAAGGAAAATTCAAAACGAAAAGTCCCTTGTCAAATGACAAAATCAAAAGCTAAAACACATCAAACGAATGGAAAACAACTGTCATATTCCTGAATTGCTACAGGCATTTTTTTGTGTAGAAAATGGTGGATTAAAACTGGTTGTGTAGATAGTTCTGTATCCTTGGGGGACTTTTTATGTTAAGGACACAAATAAACACGAATAAAATAGTTTTGCTCTCAATAAAATTAACGTCTGCTACCCGCATTGGCAAAAAAAAAAAACAAGGCAAACAAGAGGCACAAGGATAAAAGCTTATGTGAACGGTTACTACCAGTCACCACTTATAAAAAAGTAGTGCTGCATATACCTACGCGTATAACCATAAACAATACTATAATACTATAGGTGCCTGCAGGTCACACCAAATTTATCTGTATCAAATGTGCCTGCAGGTCACATCAACATTTATCTGTACCATAGGTGCCTGTAGATCACATCACTTAAGATCTGTAACATAGCCTAATAAAATATCATTTGAGTCTGCAGGTCACACTGCTAATTATCTGTACCATAGCCTATAGGTGACTACAGGTCATACAACTTTTTATGTGTACCATAGACTATCATAGGTGCCTGCAAGTCACACTGATATTTATCTGTTATTAAGTCTATCTTAGGTGCCTGCAGGTCACATTACCATAGATGTGTACCATAGTCTATCATAGGTGCCTGCAGGTCACATCACCCTAGATCTGCAGCATAGCCTTTCATAGGTGCCTGCAGGCCATACAACATTTTATCCGTACCATTGCATAGCATATGTGCCTACAGGTCATATCACAATAGATCTGTACCAAAGTCTATCATGGGTCTATCATAGGTGCATGTAGGTCACTTTTTTATAGATCTGCAAAAAACCTATCAAAGGTGCCTACAGGTCAAATCGCCTTTGTCTGTACCTAAGTTTTTCGTAGAAGCCTGCATGTCACACTGCTATTTATTTATACCATAGCCTATCATAGGTGCCTGTAGGTCACACAGCTTTTTGTATGTAACATATCCAATGTAGGTCACACCGCTATATTAAGTACCATATCCTATCATAGTGCCTGCAGGTTTATTACTATATAGGTGCCTGTAGGTCACACCGCTTTTTATGTACCATATCCTATCATAAGTGCCTGCAGGTCACACCATAATTTATCTCCACCATCATTGCCTCCAGGTCACACTTTTATTCATATGTAACATTAGCCTTTTAAAACTACCTGCAGGTCACACTGATATGTATCTGTACCACAGTCCATCATATGAGCCTGCAGGTCACGTCACCGTAGACTTATATCATAGGTGCATGCAGGTCGTAACTTTATAGATCTTTACCAGAGCCCATCACAGGAGCCTGCAGGTCACACTGCTATGCATATGTAACATAGCCTATAACCGGCGCCTGCAGGTCACACAGATTTTTATCTATACCATACCATATCATATGTGCCTGCAGGTCACACTCATATTTATCTATACTTTTGCGCATTAAAGGAGCCTGCAAATCCAATCATCATTCATTATATAGATCTGTATCATAGATGCATGAAGGTTGAAACCTTTAATATGATATGGATAAATACCATCGTGACCTACAGGTACCTATGATAGGATATTTAAATTAACAGGGTGACTTACAGGCCCCTATAATATGACATGGATAAATACCATGGTGACCTACAGGCACCTATGATAGGATATGTAAAATGACAGGGTGACCTACAGGCACCTATGAAAGGATATATAGAATAACAGGGTGACCTACAGTAATCT